CGGGTGACTCAGGTTTTAGGGAGAAAAAAATATTGCACAGCCAAAAGCTTGACCGGGATAAGCAAACAAATGAATGTAATGGTGAAATTGAGATATCCGTGCAACGAACAGTTTTAAACGCAAGTCGAGAATGTGGAAAAAAAAGAAAGTAAGAGACCGACTCGCTCCGTTGAATAGAAAATAGTTGAATTACCAAATATACAATCAAATGTTTAATTAAGTTAAACAAATTAAAAACGTTATGCAGGAGTACAGAAAAGTCCATTAATACGCATTAATGTTAATGCACTTAGAAGTCGATATTATCATTTAACTATGTTTTATTTTGGAAAGGAAACGCGCATATAAGGGACCAATCAAATTTTAAGAAATAGCAGTCTGATGAATATATATATGCCGTGTTCGTTTCGCCTTTACCTATCATGTTCATCCATTGATTCCTAATTCCTGTTATGGCCTTTTTATAGTTCAGCATAGACCGGTATTCCACCAATCACAAGCAATCCTTTCAAATCCAAAAGAAGTTTAAGCCGATAATCTACGTTTATACGTGTCGGCTCTCGTAGAATGGTGTGCTTTCCGAGAAGCCTGTTTATTCCGTTGGATGTTTTCGTGAAAAAAAACTTCAAGATATTGCAAAGTAGACTCGTGGTTTTACGATTTGCACTCAACAAACACCTGTGCATATAGATACGTGGATACTTATGAGGTCATGCATCTTTTATATACCTAATACTTGAATGAATCATCGTTTTATCTTTCAAGCGGTAGAAATCAATTGGCTGGATTACGTAGTACAACCGGTTAAGACTAATGGTTCTTTGTTCGAAAAAGGTCATGAGTTTGTTTTAGATCTGACTCATTCTCCGACTTACGTGATGAATCAATGGTGCCCGGTGATATTTTAGAGACATCCTTGCGGCAAATATGGTGTTCACATGATCCGAAAACTTTAAATGTGACCACCTTTCATTTTGGTGGCTTGCATTTGGGTTATACTATATTTGGAAAGTTCAATAACAAAGTGTATTTGTATTATCATTATTATTTCTTTTTTTACAAATAACCGAAATAAAAAAATGGAATAAATCAATTAAAATTAGAATTAATGAATATCTTTGTGAGTTTAATTAACTTTCTTTAACATTTGTTCACCGCAACAATATGTCACTTGATCATCGGAATTGGTTTAACGAAAAGATGGAATATAATATCATTCTATTACATGCATATATTCTGGTGCCATAGTAAATCTTACATCACAATGCATTCACGCGTATGTCACATGTATTCCCCCGAGACATTCTTACTTGTTTGGTTGTAGTCTCGTGATGCAGGAGGCATGTATTGAATCGCGTTAGATATGAAATTAAAATCCAGAAAGTACGAATGCACAGACTTACTGCCTCCAGATTCGCTGTTTTCTTAGAACACACTTATCAAGACAATCTGATTTCGGAACAATAAACCTGATCATATTTAGATACTTATAAGGGAGTCAATTATTAATAGATTACGTAAAGGGTCTCAATGAAAAATAACAATAAGCAAGGGTTGTACAAACAAAAATGAATAAACTCAGCCTTTTACTATCTTGTTTTCAAGCATTCGAAGTAACCTCGGGAAATCGCGTTCTTAGACATACGTGATACAAACAGATTACTAACGTGCGGTGTGCCAAACTGATCATCCGAATATCGATAGTCGACCATGAAAATTTTTTATCATATTCTTCGTGACATTGTACGAGCTCGATGTTGGATATCTACCGTCCCCCGTCGTTCTTTCTGAACGCAAAATATTACTCTGCGGTAGTAAACCTTCGTTATTTGCATTTCAAGTTATGTTCATGCATGTTGGAGATTGTCCCAACGGCATGTACGTGATTATTTCCCCACAGAATTTAGTTCACCGGTGGAGTTTGAATAACGTTTATTACAAATCAGTGGGCTAATTATGCCATCCATAATAAATTACTGTTTGTGCGAACACAGGATACATTCTAATTT